AGTGTCAGATACGCTTACACTTTGGCAAATTAAACGCTAACACTTACCATTGTTGATTTCTTTAAAATTTTGCCAAAATACATCACGGCTGTAAGTCCAATCCTTATTTGGAGGCACAAGCCCTAAACTGGTGGATTTTTGGTGCACAGTTTTCCAACATTCTATTTTGTCTTTTTTTTGTTAATTTGTCGGAAAAGCTGCCGAAAAGAATTGCTTTCTTATCTCTAATCTCTTTTAAAATTATAATTTTACTACCGTTTAAGACGCTTTTCGACATTGTCACAGAATTATAAATAACGACTGACGTTTAACTAGTAAATTGTCAACAAAACTATTTTAAGGTTATGTTTATTTACAAACTTGTAACAGACATGCGTGAAGTACACCGGTTGCTGACAAATTTACACATGTAACGAACAAGTTAAATATTTTTTTTTGTGAAACGCTAGTTATTAACAACTTGTGATTACAAGTGCTGAATATTAACAATTGTTACTAACAACACTTGTAGTTTGTGAAACGGGCCCCTGGTCGTGATCAGGTCCTGAACAGGTCTTGATCAGGGCCCGTTTCACAAAACTACACGTTTGTCAGTTACAATGAAATTCTTACAAGTTTGGCAAAACATCTCGTTATTAGTGTTTCACGAATGCACAGGTATTCACTTGTAACCACTAGTGAATTTTACAATTTTACAAGTAAATTACTTGTAAGCTACCAACAATTTACTTGTTCAACACAAGAATAATTTACAAGTTTGTAGTTGACAGTTGTAGTGAACTAAACATTTTCTACCTAACTTTGAAGGTAGGTAGTTGGTTTGACAAGTGTACTAAGTGTAGGAAAAATGTTGTCTAGTAGCAGCTCTTCGTCAGAAAATGAAAATGAGGCATTTGTTCAAAGAAGAAGGAGGAGAATATTCAGACAAGAATTAATAGTGATTTTCATCAATTTAAGAGTTTAATGAACGTTTTCGGATGACTTATATACAAATGGAACAACTTCGTATAGACATTGCACCTGTCTTAGCGCATCCAACGAATCGCTCTTATGCACTGGCAACAAAAATGCAATTGTGTATAGCATTACACTGGCTAGGCAGTGGAGGACAATATCACGTCATAGCAGATACTCATGGGGTCAGCAAAGCAAGTGTCAGTAGATGTGTAAAAAAAGTGGTACACGCAATTAACCAAATAAAATTTCATCAAGTTGTTGCTTGGCCGGCAAATATTTTAAATACGACTGCAGAATTCTTTGCAGTAGCAGGATTTCCCCAAGTTATAGGTTGTATTGATGGGACGCTTATTAAAATAGATGCTCCAACTGAAAACGAACCTGCTTTTGTTGATCGTAATGGAAATCACTACTATTAATTGTATGATTGTTTGTGGACCAGACTTGAAAATCTATTATGTTAGTGCAAATTAGCCGGAAAATGTTCATGACGCGAGAGTACTGAGAAATAGCACCCTTTTTCAGAGAATGAAAGCTGGTTGGCATCCAATTCCAAATAGAATAATTCTAGGTGACTTTGGATACCCTCTATTATATTGGCTTATGATCCTAATTGAGGTGAGTGTGGATGAGGCTGTGGCTACCTACAACAGAGCACATAAGAAAACACGGCGTTTAGTCGAAAATGCTCTAGGCGTATTAAAGAAGAAATTTCTTGTCTTAACTACTTTCGTTTGAGTCCAGTATATGCAGCCAATGTTTTCAAATGCTGCACAGCGCTGTATAACATTACTCGGGAGAGAATGAATATAAACCGACAAATGGATAATGAAGAAATAGAAGACGATGACGAAATAGCCGGACAACCTGTTCCTTTGAATGCAAGACAAAAACAACAGGAGTTGATAAATTATTTTAGAAATAGAAACTAGTTCCAGTGTACCTTTAAAATAATAAAGAATATAAAATAAATATAGAATAGAATAATTTCCAAAACATTTAACAAATACTTAGCATAATAATTAATTAAAAGTCAAAGAAGTAATTCCTATAAACAAAACGTTTTTCTTGTAATTAATTAAAAAAATCAAATATAACAATAACATAACTTCTCAAACAATGGTCGAGTATCCCACGCTTTCACTGGTAGGTGACTCTTCTACATTTATGGGATAGGTTACAGCAGAATCGAACGATTCAGTGAATTTTGAAGGGGTCACATGTAGTTCCCATTCTAGTTTTAAAATCTCTTATGTTTTTAGATAACTTTCTTTTGCAAGGATTTTAATTTGGTGTTTGTAATTTTTTCTTCTTTAAATCGATTAGTGCTTTGCCAATTGGGTCATTTTCATTAGATATTTTCGACTTGTTCCTTTTTGAACAAGATGCAGTAGGTACACTGCTGCTCCCAGTAGAAATAAACACATTAGAGTTTTTAATTTTGTTTGCTGTACCGTGATCAATGGTTTGAATTTTCTATTTTTTGTTCAACGTTCTCAGAATCTTGCTCCCAAGTTTCGGACATGCCGAGACTACACAGATTGGATTATCCGGTCCAAGAATGTCGAGAACTACATTGTCCATTTCCGTCAATTTAGAATCTGTGCCTCCACCTGAACCAGTTTTCCTCCTGTTATCAACTTTCTCCTGCAATACGAAAAAAAGTGTCAGATACGCTTACACTTTAGCAAATTAAACGCTAACATTTGCCATTGATGTTTTCTTTAAATTTTGCCATGATACATCACGGCTGTAAGTCCAATCCTTATTTGGAGACACAAGCCCTAAACGGGTGGATTTTTGGTGCAGAGTTTTCCAACATTCTATTTTATCTTTTTTTTGTTAATTTGTCGGAAAAGCTGTCCAAAAGAATTGCTTTCTTATCTCTAATCTCTTTTAAAATTATAATTTTAGTATCATTTAACTAGTAAATTGTCAACAAAACTATTAAGGTTATGTTTATTTACAAACTTGTAACTAACATGCGTGAAGTACACTTGTTGCTGACAAATTTACACATGTAACAAACAATTTAAATATTTTTATGTGAAACGCTAGTTATTAACGACTTGTGATTACAAGTGCTGAATATTAACAATTGTTACTAACAACACTTGTAGTTTGTGAAACGGGCCACAGGTCTCGAATAGCTTTAACAAATTTTAAAGCAACTGGCATGACCGGAGCGGCTTGAGCGTGGAGTGGGGATGAATGTAGACGGGGTTTAAGACGTCAATGGGTCAAAGGTCAAAGTGTTTTTAAGTGCATACCCTTATACTTGTAACATACAAAGTAATGGCTTGTATAATTAGAGACAGTCTAACAATATATACAGAACAAAGCATAGAGGATTACCAGTACGATTTTAGAAATGAAATATACAAGATAGACGCTATACATACGCTAAAACAAGTGATAGAGAAAACATACGTGTATGACGAAGAAACACGTATACTTTTCCTACACTTTAAATAGGCTTTTGACAAACTAAACAGAAGAAAAATCATCCAAGACTTACAGGAGAGTAATATACCAAATAAAATTATAAGCATAATAAAAATAACAATGCGAGATTCTCAAGCAGCAGTAGACACCGAAAAAGAAATAATAAAAATAAAAAAATGGAGTAAGGCAATGAGATGCGCACAATCAAGGGTAATATTTATTCTATCACTATACAAGATAATAAAAAAGCTGTCAAACTCAGGAACCAATGTGGAAGATATAACCATAGTAACAACAGATAAAAAGGCAAAAATAAAACAAAATATATGAACGTAAGCAAGAAAAAGTAGACACAAATGACAGAACTGACAATAGATGCACACCATTTCGAAGAGGTTAAAACAATCAAATATTTGGGAGGACTTGTCAACAGAAGAAATGAAAGTGTAGATATAAAAAGAAGAATTCAGACAAAGAAGAAGATAAAAAGAAGATAAGCCAAAACACAAAAATGAAAATCTACAAAACGACCATAAGACCAATAGTAGTATGTGTTGCAGAAACATTTACATTAATAGCAAAAGAAGAATAGCCATTGAAAGTTTTTGAGACTAAGATTATCTGAAAAACACTGAGATCAAAGAGGGAAAACAAAGAGGATGCAAGACAATGGATGAATTACAAAATACAAAAATGGATAGGTCAAGAGAACATAGAGCAATACAAGCACACATAAATCGATAATATGGAATAGGTTTGCACCAAGCTGAAAATAACTTCCATTAGATATAAAGACATTATTAAAATTATCTCCTCGAAAACATTGACAAAAATCTATTCTTCCTTGACTTTGCAGAGGTGTCATTGTAGGGATTTTTTTGGTTTCCTTGATATGTAGCATTGCTTTTTCAGTGACATGTGGACAGTTATTGATCACCAGACAAGATAATAAAAAAGCTGTCAAACGCATGAACCATAAAAAAGAATGCAGTACAAATAATAGAATATGTGGACGATATAACCATAGTAGCAACAGATAAAAAGGCATTGAAGAAACCCTTTCAAGAAATAGACAACGGAGTCAAACTGAGAGGACTAAAAATAAATGAAAATAAAACAAAATACATGAACGTAAGCAAGAAAAAGAATACACAAACGACAGAACTGACAATAGATGCACAATTAAAAGTTTTTAAGAGAAAGGCTTTCAGAAAAATACTGGGACCAAAGACGGAAAACGAAGAGGATGCAAGACAATGGATGAATCAGGAAATACAATAGTGGATGGTTAAGAGAACATAGTTAGAGCAATAAAAGCACACAAAATTAGATGGTATGGACACATAATTAGAGGAGATAAGAGCAATCCGTTAAGAGTTATAACGGAATGGATACCACCAGGTAAAAGAACCAGATGCAGACCTAAACTGAGAAGAAGACAACAAGTGGAAGAGGACTTAAGCAGTATGGAAACTATAAATATAAATAGAAGTGTCAAAGATGAAGAAAGTATTGAAAACATCGAAGTCACACCAGAAACTGTAAAACAAACCCAGAATGGGATGATTCTGGGAACTGATATAAAAGAAGATTAAAAAATGTTAAGAACTATTAGGTAAAAAACTCATTTAAATTTAATTCACAAAAGTACACTTTCATCCATCCACAATAAAATGTAACAGCTTGAAACACTATGGTCATCATTGTTTACAAACTTCTTCTTTGCTAAATTATTTAATAAAATATCTCCAAGTAGCAGCAAACTTTCCGCCATACATTTTTCATATCAGATCCGTGGCGAGAAACTAGTTATGAGTTTTTATTTTGTTAAAACTTTTAATACGGTGGAGGGATTTCTTGCAAAACTTGGTATGGGGTTAATGCCACGATATATAAATATGTTGACGGACGGTATGTGTGTGCTAAAGATCTTTTAATTATCTTATTAGATATTATGTTTTTATAACAAATAATTCGTTTAATTTATAATTTAATAAATCCGAAATTAAATAGTTTAATTTAATTAATCCGTCAAGAAAGTATCCGGAATTTTATATTTTTCCTATATTTAATTGATTACCTTTTTTGTAACATTTTAAGACAAAAGTAATGCATCAAGTAGGTTATGCCGATAGTAGGTTATGGACAAAATCACATAACAACGCCATCTGTCAAATATTGTTGTTTGTAAAGAGACTTAACATTTGTGAAATAATGTCGCAAGTAGAAAAAAGAAAAGTGGTGGAATATTTATATAGAATGGGTATCCGAAACGTTAAAAATTAGTGCAATTGACTGAACTCAAAAAAATTGCAGTGTATGAGACAATAAAGAGGATAAAAAATGGAATAATATGAGACATAGACCAGTTTCCGCTCCTAGTGTTTCGAAAATTAGCGAACAGATTTTTAAATCAATGAACAATAAAAGTGTGCCCATAAACTGTTCGCATGTCACTGAAAAAGCAAGGCTACATATCAAGGCAAAAAATACCGGTCTAGGGGTCAATGAAGAGAAAACCAAATATGTGTGCATTAACAGACAAAAGAGACGAGATAGAATAGGACAAAATGTAACAATAGACCCCTATAACTTTGAAAGAGTGGAGAGTTTTAAATACCCCGGAGCGACTATCACCACAGATAACGATATCACGGAAGAGATAAAAGAGAGAATTCAGGCAGCAAACAGATGTATGTATAGCCTCCACAACACTATTAAATCCAAGAGCCTAACACGAACATCAAAAATCAGGATATATATAAAACAAGTAGTGGAAAAAAGCAATGGAAAGTAAACTCAGATGCTTTGAGAGAAAAAATCCTCAGAAAGATCTTCGGTCCCTATCACGATCCGAATACTAACCAATACCGAATGAGAACAAATGCCGAGGTCAAACAAATGTATAGTGCTAGCGACGTAGTCCAAGAGATTAAATCCCAACTAGTCTAAGATGGGCTGCCCATATTCATAGGCTCTCTAATAACCGCATTACCAAGTTAATCTGGGAAGAAGTCCCGACAGGGAGAAGGCCCTTAGGACGTCCACGAATGCGATGGAGAGATAATATATGGTCAGATTTGAGAACAATGGGGCTACCCACTGACTTAAACATCATGGACGACCGTTCGAGATGGAAGCAGGTTGTGCAGTCAGCCAAGACCCACCCCGGGTTGTAGTGCTACCAAGAAAAAAAAACATATCAAGGAAATAAAAAAAAATTCCTACAATGACACCTCTGCAAAGACAACGAAGAAGAGATTTTTGTCAACGTTTTCAAGAAGATAATTTTAATAATATCTTTATATCTGATGAAAGTTGTTTCCAGATTGGTGCAAGTCATCTAAAAGTCCTATCAAAAGCAAATGTTATCGTTCAAATTTCCCACTAAAATAATGATTTGGGGAGCAATATCTTAGCATGAAAATTTGTAAAAACAACTATAATACTAACGAAATCTTGATAGTAGAGGGCCAGCAGATCGAAAGAGTAAAAAAGTACACTTACCTAGGAACACTTATAACAGAAAATAATGACTACACGGCAGAAATCAAAGTCAGAATCGAAAAAAAGGCACGTTCTAATTTTATAAAAATGAAAAAGGTCTATGTGGCAAAGATCTAACATTAGCTCTTAAAGTACGCTAACAAAATGTTACGTATACAGTGTACTATATTATGGAGTGGAATCATGGACGTTAAATCTAGATACCATGAGACGACTTAACGCCTTTGAGATGTGGACCTATAGAAGAATTATGAGGGTTTCCTGGGTAGATAGAGTTACAAACAATGAAATACTGAGAAGAATAGGCAAAGAGAAGGAAATTGAACTTACAATTAAAGAAAGAAAGCTACAGTATCTCGGACATGTGATGCGGGGCGATAAGTATGGCATCCTGCGACTCATAATGCAAGGAAAAATAGATGGCAGGAAGAAGCATCGGAAGAAGACGAATTTCATGGCTGAAGAACCTGAGAGAATGGTTTGGATGCAGCTCAAAACAACTATTTAGAGCTACTGCCTCAAAAATTAAGATAGCTATGATGATTGCCAACCTCCGTAGCGGAGATGGCACCTGAAGAAGAAGAAGATCTTAGCATGGTGCTACAGCTCTCTGTATGGTTAGGGATGCTGTAGATAGTAAGAAATATTGTGACATCCTTAAACGGTTCGCTTCTTGAAACGTTTTTTATCCAGAGTGTGTCGTTTTCAGCAAAATAATGCAAAATGCCATACTTCTGCTTATACTTAAGCTTGGATGCAAGAACACGAATTGGCAACAATTCCGTGGCCCAGCAGCATCTACAGATTTTCTTCTTCTTCTTTTTAGCCTTCTGTCGTCCATGTTTGGACATAGGCCTCTCCCAATTCCTTCCATCGGTCTCTATCCTGAGCAACATATTTCCAATTTGTTCCGGCTATTCTTTTAATGTCATCAACCCATCTCATCTGTGGTCTTCCTCTTGGTCATTTACTTTCGTAAGGTCTCCAATGGTGTATTGTAGTATTCTAACGTTAGTCTTCCTGTCTAGCAGTGTGTTCCGCGAAGCTCCATTTAAGTTTGGCAATGTTTTACAGATCTTAGGCCCATTAAAAACATTTGAGGACTGATGAAGATTGAAGGGGAACGAGCAGTGCCACGAGATAAAGAAGGTTTGATTTGGCCAGTTTTACAGGCCTGGAACACCATTACCGAAAATTATGGCCTTGACCTAGTTTCGAGTGTACCTGGACGTTTAGTTAAGTGTTTAGATTTAAATAGAGGTTGTATAAGTAAATGAGATAAATTATTTGTTGAAATTTTAAAATTCAAGTGATAGAAATAAATACCGTAAAATTATAATTCTGCTTTCTTTTTTCCGAATACTTTCTAGACGGACTACACTATCAAATAGGAATCTTGTAAATCTTATAGTAAGGGTTTCTAATGAGACATTTTAATAATCTGTTCTTTTCTTGACGCACTAATAGTTTCACTGTATAACACTGATGCTTTATGTATGTTTTAATACTTAAGTTCTACTCTTTCCAATATCTCCTCTATTATCCAAGTTCTAAAATATATCTAAGAACATATTATATATCGATGTCGCTGTTAGTTAGAAGAGAAACATCTCAAAGCTATGAATTATCTATAGCCGAACAAACCAATTTACTTGAAATCTAACACTGTATTGTTTTTACAGCTCCATATCAGGTAACCGGATCAAGTATATCGAAGGAGGCCTTCTTCAGAAAACTCCCGCCCTGGCCCTGTTGGAACTGAAGGGCAATCCGCTGATAGGGGTGGACGCCCACGCATTTTCCTTCCTGCCAAGACTACGAAAGCTGCAAGTATTATGTTTCTACTATTTTTTGTTTGTTTGTTTTCATTTTAGTTTTGTACGGATGTTTTGGTTAGCAAGAGAAATACATTATCGATTTATTTTTCGTAAAAAATAATATTTTTCTACTTCTATACTTAAGTTACTAAACTTCTATAATAAGTTTTAAAGATATTTAATTTAAATCTTTATAAAACTAATATCAAAAGCTCAACAAAAATTTATATACATATTACTTAAGTTCCTTGCTTTTTACCATTTATTTTTTTGCTTTGAAAAATCACTGAATATCGTACAACCGTACGACCACTTTGGGATCCGCAGCAAATCAAAGTAATGTTGACGTAATATGAGAAATCATTAAAAATTCAATTAGTCACAGTATCAAACCGTGGAAAACAGAAAAATACTGAAAATAAGAAGTGGTTTGATAACGAATACGAGAGGTTCTGAATGTTAAGGAAATAGGCACTGCAACAAGTTCTGCATCATTTAAAAGAAACAAGACGTACAGAAATACAGAGGTTTCAGAATATAGGCAAAAAATACAATAAAAGCCAAAAATAGAACACAGAAAGAAAGATTTTTGATTAACTAAGGTCTAATATAATGAAAAACCACAGTTACATTTATTTTAGTTGATCACAAAAATAAAAAAATGTCAAAAAGACAGTATTAGATTTAATTTCAATGCAGAGCATCTGCCATCCGCTTATACGTATTCTAACCTCATTAGGTATCATCGGAACGACATGCAGAGGCTCTGACTTAGTTTCGCTAAATAGGAAGTCTTAAGATTCCTAATGTTATAAAAAAAAGTCTTTAAACCAAAAGTTAAAACTGTCATAATAATTGCGAACTTATTCCGGTGGGTTTTCTTACACGCAGTTTACCTGGTTACGGGTAAGGCTGAAGTGGTAGCGACCGGAAAAGATATTTTGACAGGCTGATATACTTTTAATAGAAGAACCTACTGTGGAAGATATATCAAGAGCTTTTCACAAAATAACAAAGACCTAGGATCAGTAATACTACAAAATTGTTAAAAATATGCTGGCTATCGTTTCATTAACCCTTTTTTGCCCGACGGGACTCAAAGTCCCAAAATTTTAAATCGTTACGATTTTCTTATTACGGCAGAAGTTGGCGTAATTCCTGACGGGACGGACGCGTACAACGGTTATTTAGCATAAGAGAATCTTTCACCGGGTGTATTCGTTGACAATCGTGGGTAATCGAATTTAGTGTAACCGTAACTGCTGGCGGTGGACGTTTGTTGATGCAAGCA